CCAGACAACTAAAAAGAATCCTTCAGTTTGAACGCAAATGCATCCTCAAAATCCTTCGACTTCACTACCGACACCCCTCTTCCACCCTCTATAACCTGGTCGCCTTCCCAAACATCCTCGAATACATTAAAAAACTCCAAGGCCGACTCGCTTCACGCATAGCCCTTCAAGATCACCCCACCCTCTCACTCTTCAAACCCCCTTTAGGGGCAACATTCTCCAAAGTCCCAAAGGAAAAAATCCCTCACCCCCTGCCGTTCTGGCGTCCTACGCTAACTGCAACAACCCCACATTAATGCAACTTCTCCAAGACTTTAAAAAACAGTCCCCCTCAGTGATGTAAAACATTCGTTTTTTTGTGCAGTGAAGTGATTGTTACTAATATTTATTTGTGTTCTTATTATTTGTTTGTTTTTTTATTATTATTGTTGATGTTTTTTTTTTTTTGTAAAACTTTCTGTTATTAAGAGGCTGAAAGAGGCTAAAGCCCATAACAGTCTGCATTTTTTTTGTATCACACCCTATATTATGTATTATTTAAATTTTAAATAAATGATGAAATGAATGATGAATAATTGTATATATTCATCTTAAATCATTAGAATAGTTAAAAAAATCTTTTTTAGAAATATAATAAAAAAAAGTATTTTATCTACATGGAATTTATTTTTCTCTAAGATTTTATCAAGTATAGATTGAAAATTTATGCAATATTAATGGTTATTAAAATTATTTGTTTTTTTTTATATTAAAATAAAATGCACCATTATTAATTGAATTACCATCAAGTGTTAAGTATTATATAAAGATTATTTATTTTTAATTTAATCGTTTAACGTTTGTATTAAGCTTTAGGTATACTTAGTCCACACGTTATATTTAATTAACACATACGTTATTATTGCTATTTATTTGCTATTTAATAGCATAGTATTTAAATAAATATAGTATATTTAATCCAGAGCATAAAATTGGTTGCAATATAAAATCTTTAATAAAACAATATTTTTGTATTTTAATTTGTAGAATTTGTCTATTACAAAAATAATCAATTTATTGGTATATCAATATTGGTAGTTTTGATGCGTTGGATATCACCAAATTTTAGATAGCGGACACCGCAGACACTGTGCTATGGAATATCATATGAAATCATATTGTTCAATAATTACTTTCTTATTATGTTTAGAAGGTAGATTAGTTGTTACAAAATTTGACTTGTATCAATAATTGGGACGAAGGTACAAAAAAAAACGGTGGAAGAAGAAAGTGTGGCGGAAGTGACGTCGGTGTTGTGCTGTGGTGTAGTGGCTATGTGCTGGAATGAGTAATGTTACGGTGAGAGGGCGGATAATTTATTTTATTTTGGTTTAGCCAAGGCTATTGCCAAAATATTGGACGGTGAAAGAGAGAAGGAAGAGGGGGTCAGCAATTTGCGCGCGTGTTGGTTTGTGTGCGGGGGCGGCTAAGACGTCGAGGGGGCGACAGGACCGTCGGCCGGTCGGTTTGTTGCGGGGTCGGGGTTGTAGTGGACGTCGGTTGGCGTCGGTTCACGTGTGTTTTTAAGTAGGCCGCGGCGCCGTCCATCCAGCGTAGGTATACTTCTTGGCCGCTCGTCGTCGCGGTGGCGCAGCAGTTCGTGGCACCCTCTGCCTTTCTCACTCCTTCCTTCGGCGGCTGCTTTTAACAACTCTTGCCGCCAACCAACAACCACCAGCCACTGCCGCGCTGCATCTCCGAAGCAACAATAGTCCCCCTCTTGTACAGTACTCTCACAGCAGCAGCAATATTCCAGAGCCTTTAATACCATACCAAGATATACGCGCGGCGTCCGAGGACCACCGATTCGCACCATACACCATCACTTCTCTCTCTCCTCTTCCTCGTGACGTTTAGCGTCTATAAATACGTTGAAAACAGTGTCCGTTCGGTCCTGCAAAACACAAACAACCAGTGCATCCGGCGCCGTACACTTATGGACGGACTGCGGCGTCAAATCCTATTTGAATTTCAAATCGGACTTGATTGGAATTTATTGATACTAAACTAACTATTGATACTATCATTAATTTGCCAGTGATGTTCCAATAACACAACAGCGCATCTGGAATTTAGTTTGCGGTTTCCTTTCAACAAGTTTATCAACAGCAGAAACCCCTGTGAATTACATCAATCGGTACGTACTGTAACTCAAAATATTAAACTTTTATAACCAACATTATATTTAATACTTTAACTGCTAAGTTTAAATAAGAAAATAACATGTTTTTTAATCCATTTTAAACATAAGTCACGTTAGTACTTTTTAATTAATGATCCTTAATTCTATATATGCTTACATATAAACAATGGATTATTGACTGCGGTCATTCCGCCCTAATATTATGATATTCATATGCAGTCATTTTAATCTTTATTCATACTTATTTAAAAGAATAAAAAAATGTAACGTGAATCATTATTGTATAATATTAACACCAATATTTTGGTATCAGTGAAAATATTTTCAAAAACATGGATAAAATTATTAATTAAATGTTTTCGTATATTTCTTTTTTATTTTTTATTTTTCATTTTATATTTTTAATTTTAATATTTTTGATAATATTAATTTTCTAATAATAAGAACATTTATTAACAATCACATTTAAACAAATAAAACAAATCTATTAGATACTACAGAAAAAAAGATTAATATTATACATATTTATAGAAATATTCATAAATAATAATAATAGAAAAAAGTATATAATAAGTATAATATAACAATATTGTTGTTTAATTTTAAGTTAATTCAATTTATAGTATTAGAATCAGGCATTTTTAATTAAATTTGAAAATAAAGCTAGGTCTTTTAATTTAAGACATTAATATTTTCTCTAATATTCATTAAATTATTAATATTACTAAATTATACTTTGTTTCATTCATATTTAGATGTTTTAATTATAACATTTTCATTTTTTTTAATATAATTTTCAAAATAAAAATAATTTAAAAAACGACAATTTACTTTTAGTTTTTCTATATAGAAAATAATTATTATTAATAATACTGAAGGTTATTTATTGATTATATGTAGATGTATACAGGCTATTGACCGTAGTATTTCTGCCTTTATATAAATTTACGTTAAGAAAACCATAATCGTGATTAAAAATTTCAAATTAAGTTGAAAAATTAAATAAAATTCATTTTGTATATCAATATAATATCAATAATATTTATAATCAAAATGTGTAATTTCCCGTATTATTTAAATTGTCTACCTCAATTTAGGTGATTTTAACTTATATTTATTGCGACAACAATGAATATCTCAAATAATTATTGAATGCAAAAATATTTCAATGAATAATAATTGCACAAATGAATATCTAACTTACTGTTTAGAATTTGCAGTAAAGTATTAAAGATGTTTTGTAATTTATTAACGAATCAATTAAATGCTTATTAACAATCACCTTTCCTCATAAATTTACAAGATTAAAACCGTGAAGTAGTATCAACAATTAAATCATTAACGTAATTGCTTTACCGTATTCAAGAAAAAAAAGGCAGACTAAAATATAATAACATGACATTCACTTGCACTGTTGGTCACTGTTTATTCTTCAGAATGACAAACCCCGTTATATACAATACCCACAGATCTATTAGCTTATTATTATTTGGGCAGAAAACATTCAAAATTAAAATTTACAACTTTTTTTTTAATTACAACGTTTGCGTGTTTGTATTTTTTTAACAAACATGCGTTAATTTTGATCTTGAACCATGATCTGACTTGATTTGAAGATAATCATAATATTTATATATTCGATCCGATGCTACAGAATTATAATATATTTTCAAGGAATTTAAGGTATTGTTGAGTACTTATCAAACAATAAATAGGAAATTCTCTAATACTGTTGAGAATAAAATAAATATAGTTACAGTCTAAAGTATTTATGAAGTATATATTTTAATTGATTATGATTTTGAGAAGTGGACGTCATACTTATTTTATTTATAGTGTAATATGTATTAGCAGAATCGTTAGGCGGTAACGCAGCGTGTTTTTGTTGAGCTACAATAAACTAAGAAACGGGAAATCTCAATTCACGTGAGTTGTAAACGTCTAGAAGCAATGAAATCGCGTTTACGCATATTTTCATCGTGCCACCAACGTCCGTAATACGGTTACTTCAAACATTTTCATCTGGAAATATATTGGAAGGAATGTTTCGCAATAATCTCAAGTTCTTAATAGTTTGTATGTCATGCATGAATTGATTTAAGAACTATTTAAGTATATTTGTCCTACATCATCTTCAATATTTTTTTGTTTATTTTATTAGAAACATTTTCAAAAAATTAAACGAATTACTAACATTTTTAATTCATATAAAGCTGATATAAAATATACAAAGGAATAAATATTAAGATGTGTTTGAATGTTTTATTATAGAATCAATTCTACAGAACTTTTTGAATGTTTGAGGCAAGATTCAAATAATTAAGGTTTTTTAAGATTATTTATATTTGTAGAAACTATCAAAGTTAGGATCATGCGATTTGAAAATTACAATTATCTGTTCTAATGTCTATGTGTTAAATGCTTCATCAAGGTCTATAAGATAAATCAAAATGAGCAGAAGTTTCAATTATTTCGTCCTTCGTATAACTATTTTGTTCTTGAATTACCATAATGTTTATATTTATGTAATTTAAAAATAAATGTAGAATCTTAAGTATATATTCTTCAAAATTTGAGATCACATATAAATAAAATGTTATATAAATTACAATATTAGAACAACTTAAATAGTAATAATAGATTTACAACAATATGGTTAAATGATTGATGATGTAATTAATTTAATTTATATGTAAACATATTTAAATTAAGGTCAAAATATTCGACTTAACTTATTATTTTTAATCTATTTAATGTGATTCATATTTAATCTTATTAAGTAAGTTGAGAATATTTAATTATATTTCCTTATTGAGGGGCCAGAAATTCCTAAATTTCTAAACTCAACAAAAGTGTAGACAACTGAATCAAAAAACTTCGTCAACTGAATCAACATCGGATGGTATGGCCTATCAAGATTCATCTCTTGATATACTAACCAAATTAAATGGTAATTCTTCTTTCCTGTACATTTTCTAGAAAATTATAATAATGCCCTCTAGTAGGTATGTTCAAAATGTGGTACATTGCGTGTACTCAAAGAGTTAAAAAAGCTAATAAATATTTATTTATTTACATATTTTTAAAATGAATAGATATTTTATATGAATATTACGTAGCCTTTCTCTACGATAAAATAAAATACTCAATCACGTTTGTTAACTAAGACGAGACCAGCAGGCAGACCTAAGAAACTTGATAGGTGTCAGATGTTGCTGCCCCAATACGAATATTCTTGAACACATGCTCTAACTCAGTGTTTTCAACCTTTTTTCACCTGCGGATTGGCGAATATATTATAAATATTTTGTGGACCGGTTGATGATTAATGATACCACATCTATATTATATTTCCCGCAATATATGACTCTTAACGTAACCTATGCTCAAAGTATTTACTAAACGCTGGTACAATATTGTGTTGACTGCGGCACAAAGAATATGTTTTGTGCACGTTTGTTCTTGCCCTGCACTGACGAATATATAGAGGGCAATGACGACAATTCTGATTCAGAAATTATGATATTAATTATTATATAAATGTATTACAAATAGTTATAAATCTAATAACAAAGTATTAGTTAACATGAAAAAGTTTATTTTTGTCGCAAAACAATTATTTATGCACTCCGTCTGGCAGTAAACATGTGGTGTATAAAATACACCGCGCGAGTGGTACATAGAAATTTCATGGCGGGAGTAGTTAAAGGTTAATGTTATAATGCTATTTTTTTACGGGCTGCGAATCATTGAACGAAGATCATTACATATATGTTTTTATTTTAATTTCCTTTATTATCTTTTAAATATCGATAATTAATTGCGCTGATGACTGAGTTGTTATAACATTTGTTATATTAAACTAATAAATTGTTGTGCGTTTCGAATGATATAACACGAGAAATATCGTTCATTTAAAAAATGAAATAAATAAAATTAGTTACGTTTTCAAATATTTCGAATGTATTTACTTTATTGTATGAAGGTGATGAACATCTTAAAATTTATCTTAATCATTGAGTTAGTAACTGAGTAACTTCCCATAAAATAAACCACTCTTAATTTCTAACTTCTATTAATATTTTAAATTTTGTTTTATTTATAGTTATTAATATTAACTATAAATTGCCCTGGGTTGGGTTCCAATGATCGACATTCAGATCCACGGTGTTATAACGGTTTCATCAGTTTATTTACAATAATTGTCACTTGTTAGCAGGGTGTTGTGGATGTTATTAATTAAGCTTCAAATTAAATTCAGTATTTATGTTGCTTATATATCTTTATTGGCAAATCACATAATTCACAGCCATTTACATTTAATTTAATATAAGTTTAATCAGATTTAGAAATCAAAGGCTATTAATACCGCTTTGGAAAATAATTAAACAAAAATAACCTCTTGATATGCAGGTAGATCGAAGGGAGATTGGTACACATTCTAAAGAAATTTGCATCTAAATTTATAAACATTAATATGCATTACTAGTTAGTTTTCAGAGTAAATAGTATTTCATTCCGGAATATTTTTCTTGATCTATATTTATAATACTTTGCAACAAAATTGAGTTAAATCGATGTAAAAAGTGTGTATTTGCTCTAAGTATGTTAAAAATTACTTGAAAGTTTATTAAGTCGTACTTTTAGGGAAAATTCAAAATGGTATGCAATTAAACTTTTAGTGATTGTTTGAAGTATATGTACAAAACAACCAGGATTGATCGCGACCCACACTTTAAGAAACATTGCTATAGAGAAACAATTTTCCCCATATAAACTAATGTAATATACGTTAATATGAGTTCCATTTTGCGAGTCATTTACTTTACTCGTTTAGAAAAATGCTCGTTATGCGAGGTGATCTTTAAGCGAAGGTCCACTATATATCGATATTCAAATACTTTAGCGATTTTTAGTAACTTTATTTGATACGTCCACATAGTTTTATAAGTAGTTTATAATCTAGTGACAGCTATATTTATAGTAGTAAATTT